AAGGAAAACACTCCCACTCACCCCTCTGGACCTGTGGACATTGGGAAGCAGAATAAGAGGACGGTGGGAAGCTGGGGCTGGAAGAAACCTTGGGAATCCCCAAGGAATAAATGCTCACTCTCATCCAGAGGGCTCTCAGGAAGAAGGAAAAGGGGGACGGCGCCATCTGGGACCGCGGGCAACCCCGGGAAGGAATTCCCGGGCAATCCAGGTGAGGCCTTACCTGTACTCGCGCTCCTGCAGGATCTCAACGGGGTCGAGGCCTCGGGGTTTCTGGATGGGGGTGATCCGGTTCTGTTTGGGATGGATCGGCAGCGAGGGCGGCGCCGGCTGGCCCGGGGAGGGCGGGGGTGGCCCGGGGGACGCCGGGGGCACGGCCGGGGGCACCGGGGAGGGGCGACCCGCGGGGGGAGGAGGCAGAAGCTTCTGGGGGGCTCCGCCTGGAGCTGCCGCCGATAGAGGCCCTGTGGGAAGAACAGGGAGGCTGGGAATAGCGTTCCAGGTTTGTCAGGGGGGTGTGGATCTCCAAAAAAAACCAAACCACCTCGATTGTTTTGGTTTTGAACTCCTCAAAAACTTGAATATCTGAGTCACAATGACCTTGTGGACTAAGTGCAGCGGTTTAATAGAAAATTCATCCCAGTTGTCTCCAAAACGCCTATTATTTACCTGGAAATCAACTCTAAATCGCCACAAAAATCCAATTATTTGGCTGGAAATCAGCCCCTAATCCCACAAAATTACAGTTGTTCAATGCAAAATTAACTACAGTCCCCGAAAAAACTCCAAATATCTATCTTGAAAAGAGCATAATTATCCCTGCAAAACTCCAGTACATTAATTAAACCAGCCATTCACAGAACTCCAGCCCCAATTCCAGCGTTTTAACCAGGAACTTCCTTCCATTCCCACCCCCCAGAACATCCCTTGCTCACAGAGCTGGGATGAATTCCCAGGAATTTTGTGCTCCAGGTCTTACCTTCTGGCCAGGGCTTGGGGGGCCCCCCAGGGGGCTGTCCTGGCATGCCAGGGGGAACTCCTGAGGGTCCGGGAGGGGGCATGTTGGGCCCTCCTATTCCTGGGAATTCCCGAAAATCAGGAAGAAAAGGGAAAAAAAAAAAAAAAAAAAAAAAAAAAAAGAGAAATGCCATGAGGATGCTGATTTCTGGGGCAGAGTCCCAGCAGAAAGGTTGGCCAAAAAAAAAAAGAAAAAAAGAGAGAAATGCCATGAGGATGCTGATTTCTGGGGCAGAGTCCCAGCAGAAAGGTTGGCCTGCTCTGGCTGAGGATGAGGATCTGCAGGTACAGCCCCCCTTTCCCCTGAACTGCCAGAATCCGGATGGATCTGAAATCCCAGCTGCTGGAATGCCCGTGGACGTGGATGGGAGAAATGGAGGAAACCCAAACAGCTGAGGGACACTGGGGCAAACCGGGGATCCAGGATGGAATGGGATTCCAATGGGATAGAACGGGACAAGTTCTCCACGAATATCCCAAAGGACAAACTCCCCTTGGATTTCCCAGGATAAAGCGAGACGGAACCGGGACAAACTCCCCACAGATCACAGAACGGGACGAGCTCCCCACTTGATTGCTCAGGATGGGAACAGCATAAAAACCCCTCGGGATCCCTCAGGATGCAACCGGACACACCCCCAGCCCCTCCTCCTCACCGTGAGGTCTGGAATACCCGGGCGGTGCCGGCCCTGCTCCGGGCGCTTGCCCCGGGCCCTGTGCACCGCCGGCGGGCGGAGGTAGAGCAGGAATCTGCGGCTGCATCCCGGGCAGGGGCCGCTTTCCCTGGACGGCGACCTGGAGGTGCTCTGGGAGAGGCTGTCCCCGAGCCAGCAGCTTGTAGGCCATGATCTGAGCGCGGAGCTGGTGCAGCTGAGCCGCGTTGAACGGTGACGGGCCCCGGCCCAGTGCGGGTGAATCGGAACCGGAACCGTCCAGAGCCGCCCCGGAGCCGCCGGCGGAGCCGCCCGAGGGGCCGTTGGATGGCACCGGGCTGGAGGCGTGCTCGGAGCCGCCCAGAGGGGATGGATAACCTGGCGGGGTTGGATGGTACAAGGGAGTTGAATTTCCCATCCCTGGAGAGCTCTGTGTGCCCTCAAGATTCCACCCCGAACCGCCCACACCCACCAAGGATTTTTCTCCTTCCTCCCCAAAATCCAGCGTGTGGACCTGGAAATTACCGGGATTTACATCCAGGATTTAAGCAGGGAATGATGAAACCCTCCCACCTCCAAAGCCAGGATTTTGGACGCAGTTCCTCCCCTTCCCTTTCCCACTGTCTGTCGTGTCTCTTGCCGTGCTCCCAACCTTGGGAATGCTGATCCATGGGGCTGGGGGGGGGCCCCATTCCCGCGTGGCCCCCCGGCCGCATTCCCATTCCCTTCATCTGCCCGTAGCGTGGATCCTCCGACATTCCCTTCTCGTGCATCGGGTCCAGGGGCTGCAGAGAGGAAACATCCCAGGAAATCAGACACGGGAAGAGCATTCCTGGAGGGAATCGTGATGCTCCCAATCCACCCAGCCTACAGAATTCCCAGGAATTTGAGCTCTATTTCGTTATTCCCAGAGGTGCCAGATTCCACCTGTTCCGGCCACAAAAATCCTCCCTGCAGCAGCACAATTTCCTAGATTTTTTTTTTTTTTTAATTTAAAAACTCCTTGGGTTACAGGCAAGAAATTCTCAGTAAAGCCCGAAATCCATGAGGAAAGACCTCCCAATTAATGATTTAATTAATAGGGCTGGGGTGGGAGATTTTTCCCATCCCTGACGTTTTTTCAGTGTATTTTTGGAGCAGGAGAGTTCAGGAGGGATTTTGGAGGGGGGGGGGAAGAGAGGTGAAAAAAAAATTGGGAAGGGAGAGACGAGAGGAAAGGGAAGGGGCTGCAGGTGCAATTTGTGGATTTGATATAATTCCCTTAGTTACTCCCTTCTTCCCATCTCCTTCTGATGTTCGAGAAAGAAAATTGATCATTGCAACAATGACAATTTACAGAGGTGACAAGATTGGGGGGGGACACAGATAAATCCCTCACCCAAACCTCAGAGGTTTTTTTTTTTGAGGCCTGGAATACCAGGATGCCTCACCTTGTGCAGGGGGTGGATGCTGTCCGGGGCGTATCCTGGAGCTGGGAGAGAGTGTCCCGAGTGTCCCGAGTGTCCAGAACCGGGTGAAGGACCGGGAGAAGGGCCCAACATGGACCCTGGGGAAGGACCAGGACCGGGAGAGGGGCCGGGCCGGGGGGTCCCTCCCAGCGGAGGCTCTGGGGTCGCCATCTCACATCAGGAGCTGGGAATGGGTGCCTGGAGCTGCACACCTGGAAATTGGGGTGGGGAGATCTGGGTTAATTCTTGGAATGAACTGAGGGATCACCCAGTGGGGAAACATCCTTTCCACTCCACCATCAAGGAATGGGCAAGAAAGCCTCTCCACAGGGCACGAGGAATTCTCTTCCCAATCCAACCCTGAGGATACTGGAATGGGGAATCTGCTTCCAAATCTGTTAGGCAGGAACGAGGAGAAAGGAATCCCACCCCCCCCAAAATCTATTGTTTGGGAACAAACAACGGGAATCTGATTCCCAACCCATCCTGGAAGCAGGAGGGATGGGAAATCTGCTTCCCAACACATCACAGAGGGACGAGGGATAGGAAATCCCTTCTGCAATCCACCACCAAGGTGTCAGAAACAGGGAATCCCCCTTCCCAACCTCTGCCGAGGAATTAGGAACACCCAAATCCACCATCAAGGAACGGGGAAGGGGAATGCCCCATCCTGGTCCATCCTAAAGGGCTGTGGAGGGATCAGCGCTGCCCTTGCACAAGATCTGGGGATTTCTGGTAATTCAGAAAGTCCGTGAGGAGTCGAGATCCTCATCCTCAGTCCCAAAGAGGGAGAGAATTCCACCCAAAGACGCTGGAATTCTTATGGGAGATGCTCCTTTTCCAGGGAAAAAAAACCTCCTTTTCCAGAAAAAAAAAAAATAAATCCCTTTTCCCACTAATATTGCTGATTCGGGTTGTTCCAGCACAGTGAAAAATTCAGATTTCCCAGCACCTGCTTCCCCTTACATGGGGGGGAAATTTATCCTAATTTAAGTCATTTTCATTCCAGCCATTGGGAATCTCGCCTCCCCATGGGTGGAGCTGTTCCTGTCCCCTCTTCTGACCGGGAAACAGGGATTGACAAAGTGATTTTCTGGGAAAGAGAGGGATTAATTCCTGCTGGATCTAGCAGTTCACCCCAGCAGAGCTTTCCCAGGAAAAAAACACTGCTTATTCCAGAGAAACCAGGGAATTAATTTTAAATTAAGCTCCATTCCTGCCCTTTTCCAGCCCTGTTACCATCATTCCCTCCCACCCAGGGGAATTTCATGCACAATTCCAAGGAAATTTGTAATTTCCAAGGAAAAATATTCACGTGGGACGCCAATTCCCAGAACCTGGGGAGGGAGGGGGGGATTCCAGAAATTCCAGCACCTACCTAAGGGCATGGTAATCTTCAACACTCTGGAGGGATGAGCTCTTAAAGCTGAGCTGGGGGGAGAAACCGGGAAGTAATTGGGAATTAAGTCGGGAATTTCATTCAGCAGCACAGGAGCATTAACAGAGCACGAGACTCCCCCCCCAAAAAAAAAAAAATTAAAAAAATGGCGATTTCCTCACGGGTGAGCCCAATTTGGTGCATGTTTGGGGGGGAATTTGCTGATTTCCAGCGAGGAGACACATTCCAAATTCCGTTTAAAAAAAAAAAAAAAAAAAAAAACAACCCTGCTCTCAATAATTCCCGGAGGCAGCGGATTCCACCTGCTCCAGCCACAAAAAAAATCATTTCCACAGCACGATTTGATTTTTCCTGGATTTTTTTTTTTTTTTTAAATTAAAAACCCTCTGGATTACAGGCGAGGAGTTGTCATTAAATCCCGAAATCCAGGAAATAACCCCCTGGATTAACGAAGCAATTAATGGAGGAGGCTCAGGGAGGGTTTTCCCATTACTGAGGTTTTTCACCCCATTTTTGAAGCGAGTCTGGGCGAGATTTATTGGGGTGAAAAATAAATCGGGAAGAGGGAGAGGAAATGCAAATAGGCTGCGGGTGCAGCTCTTTTGTTTTAATTAAATCCTTTCCTTATCCTCCTCTTCCCATCTCTTTCCACCTCCGGAGGAGAAAAACGGGCAATTCCAGCAGTGGGAATTCGCGGAGGTGAAAAAGAGGAGGGGCTGAATGGGAGGATAAATGGATCGGGATAAATCCCCCCCTCCCCGCCTTCCTTCTCCACCATCGAGGCGGGGGGGGGGTCTTGATTTCCAAACCCCTTCCCTGCCCCCGGATCCGTCCTGGATTCCTCCAGGAAGGGAACAAATTCCTTGCGAGGAATCAGGGAGCTGGGGAATCCTCGTGACCCTCCCCTCAAAAAAATGGGGGAAAAATCGGGGAATTTGGGGGAGGGAGAGGGGCAAGGATGGGGAAAAGAGGGGGGGGTTGGAAAAGTGGAAAAGAAGGAAAGAAATTGGGAAGGGCCTCGGCTTGGGAGGGGGGAGGGAAAAGCCCCTCGGGATCGAAGGATTTGGGGGCCG